TCGGATTATTATTATATTAGTATTAATATTAATGAAAACAAAGCAAAACAAAACAAAAAAAAATTAAATTATATCTCTTGTAAATATATATTGAAGTGAATCGCAAAGAAAAAAAAACACACAAAAAAAAAAAAATTAACAAACAAAGAAGAAATGATCAATTCATTTTTTTTTCCAGATTAAAATCGTAATCTTATTTTAGATTGTAAGTAAAACGGGATGATAGATTAAAAGGAGAGAGAGGAAAGAGAGAAATGAATTAGGGTGAAACGCATCGTGACACTTTCTCTCAACCTTTCAACGTCAATAAATTAATTATTAAAGATGAGAGTTCTCAGATATGCACACATAACAATAAAAAAAGAACTTAGTACGAATCATAATTAATCATAACCATACGATTTTTTTTTTCTATTTATACTTAAAAAAAAAACAAACCAAATCTATCCCAGTTACTCCGGTAACACATCCCACACGCGTGTGTATAATTTTATTTATTTGAAATAAATAATAGAAAACAAAAAGATGGGAGAGAGAGAGAGTGAAAAAGGCACGATGCGTTTGATTAAAAAATTAAAAAAAGAAAAGAAAAGAAAAAAAGAAAGGGGAAAAAAAAAAAAATAAAGCGAAATAAACCAGTATTATGAATGTATAAATATTAGGACAGTAAAAGACGAGTAAAAGAAAAACAAAAATGAAAAAAAAAAAAGAAGAAAAAAAAAACCCACGGTTATATTATAACCGAGAATAAAAATGGTGTTAGAAAGAAAAGAAAAGAAAAAAAAGAAAACAAATAATAAGAATAAGAAGCGAGGTGAAAAGAGACGGGGAACGAAAAAAAGGGAAAAATAGGAAGAAAACGAACAAAAAAAAAAAAGAAGCAAAAGACGAGACGGTGGGCTCCGATATATTATATATAAAAAGAAAAAAAAAAAGAAAAGAATTGCATTCGCGAATAAATCCATCCCCCTTACGCCCCCTTGCCCCCTTCCCAACCACCCCCCAAGTATCGTAGCGAGTTTACACGATTACACAAAAGAGAAAAGGGAGAGAGAAATACATACACAGACACAGACACACACGAGAAATATACATACACGATTAGTAATAAATCATGCTTTGTAAAATATTGTCTGTATAGCGAGAATTATTATATGGAAAATATATTATACTAAATTTAAACGTCATATATATTTCGTGAGCCGTCCCACCCCCCTACGATATTTTCCACAATCAACCACCCTCCCTTTTTCAACATTCTGACTGGCTTGTAACCCCCCTACCCCCTGTTTATTACCCCCTATCAATATTATTCATTCTATACATGGTAGTATTTATCGAATTATCTTTAAATCGACATATTTTAATCGAGCTCGGCTCCAATTTGTTTTTTTGTTCTGCTGCTGCTGCTTCTTTTCCTCAAGGACACGGATTACAAAAAACAAAAAAAGGAAAAAGAAGTTTGTATAACAGTGTAAGTAACATCGTACTCGAGGCGTAATCGTGTTTGCTTATTTCCGGCGTTGGTCAAGCAAGCAAGCAAGCGGACAGTGCAATTATGTCGGCTTCTGTACAAGAAGGAAGAAGGAAGAAGGGCGAAGGGCGAAGGGCTTATTTTATTCCTATTAGGGTAAAACGAGTAGCTGACTGCTCGGGACCGACCGGTGACTTACGTTCGACTGTATTTGTCCTCTTTTACACGTCGTGTTCCTTGTACGTGTGTGTTTATGTTTGTGTACGTATGTGCGTGTTCGTGTAGCCCCAATTACGTGAAATTAATTTGGGCCCCATTAGCTAGCGGTCGGCTAGCCGTTGGCCTGACACTAACGATTTTTTTCTCATCCCCCCCCCCTCCCCTCCCCTCCCCTCGC